GTTGCCTCGCTGAGATCATGTTCGAGGGATCAGGTTGACAGAAACTTCAGGGCCGATATTGGATTCAATTTTTGGATTAAGTCAACATTTTACCAAACATTTGACTCAGCTGAATATTGAATAAATATTAATAAAAAAATCATTAAAATATCATACTGAGTGTTATTAAAGATAAAGACCAGTTATGATTGGTCATGCGATTGCATTGTCGAAGAAACGTTGTGGAATCGATCAGAAAAGGTTGATCATCTAGCATAGTATTGGTGTGTACTGCAAGGTTCTAGAATCATCAAAATGTTAAGAAATTTGGCCCAGTCTTGGTAAAGTTACAAGCACTGTACACAGAAAGATGTATATGGGACTACAGGATATCTATCCAGGCCGGATAGATATGATAATTTACCAAATATATCAATTAGTAGGCGATTTCCCAGCAAAATTTGTATCATTACGTATTAGTCCAAGCATATATATATTCTTTCACATGATTGGTACTGTAATAAGAGCTTCCATTTCATTTTTGAGAGGGGGCTTTCCAAAACTGGTCTATACCTTTAAAATATTTCTAATTCATCTTTTTCAAAGTATTAATTAGCGTCCATGATCCATCATGCATTGCTTGTCTATTGGCAGGTATGTACAGTTTGTGTGTACTGAATGTAGATATCAATGGTGGGGAATCCCTATACAGCAAGTGTGAAGTGCTACCTGCCCTCTATTGGTATCATAAAGGAAGTGAATGACCCAGAAAGCAAACTTTCCTCAAGGACATTGTAAAAGACTTTAGATGTTGTTATCTTTTCAATACGAGTATGCTTGTCCTGGCATTGTGCATTTACTTGTATCTTATTCATCATGAAATGTAACGGTTGGCCATGAGAAGCAAGAATTACTTGTTTTGCATGACAATACACATATTACGGTATGTACAATGTCCCTTCAAAATTTAGCATAATAAATAGAATAATATAATTATCATCCATCTCACAGCCATTAAATATTTACATGTAAATGTAAACTGATTGTTACATATTGTTCTGTGGAGAATAAAATAAAAGAGATAATTTACAATTTTCAGAATATACATGTAGGCGGAGACAAATTGCATTCATCTAATTTAGTAACTATGATCGTTCAGTTGGGCTGGAGGACCATACTTGACAACATACGCTACTGCCTTGAGTTTTGGGTCACGCCCGCTTCCCGATAACTGATGTTTGGGTTGCGCCCGCTAGCTTCCCGTTTGCTGTTGGTGGGCAGTTTGGTTCTCTCCCGATGCACGTGCTGAAGTTGTGCTTTCTTATTATGAATACCCACTGTAGCTGCCTTAAAGGACAAGTCCACTCAAAAAATAACTTACTTTCAATAAAAGCAGAAAAATCAAACAAACCAATCAAAAAAAGTTTGAGCAAATTCGGATAACTAATAAGAAAGTTATGAATTTTTGAAAAAGTATGTAAAACTATGGAACAATGAGAATCACAACACAAATTGCCAAGATGGTTATCAGTTTGTGACGTCATGTCCTCATAACTTATCAATTGCTTTATATAGTTTAATCCCATTAATTTCCCGTTTTATCCCCCAAAACTTGATTTCCCCATGCCTTTGCCCAGGTTATATGATTTGTTTCATATTGCGTGCATGACATTTCCCCAAAACTTTTATGAATTTTGAAGAATTGATACTTTTTTCTGAATATTGTATTTCATAATTATTGATTTTTATATAAATAGTTTATCAAAATTCAATTTTTCATGATTTAACTGGACAAAAATTACTCTTTATTTGTGCATCCACACAAAAACATATTACTAACAATCTAACTTTGATGCTGGTGTGAAGAAATAAGATTCTTAGGGTGAAAATAGGAAATTTATATGATCAATATAAAGAAAATAATAAGTGGATAGTGAGGACCATACATCACAGACTCATGAGTGAGTTGCCATTTGTGTAGTGATTTTCAAAGTGTCATTACAAATTCATAACTTTCTTATTAGGTATCCGATTTTGCTCAAACTTTTTTTGATTGGTTTGTCTGATTTTTCTGGTTCTATTGAAAGTAAGTTATTTTCTGAGTGGACTTGGGCTTTAAATTTAATGATAGATCTGGCAAGGGACACCTTCCCGTTCCTGAACCAAAGTGCCCAAACCTTTAGGCAGTAGTGTACATGTAAATGGGTCATTCCATGGGGTTTGGTCAATTTTTGTGACATACCAGAAGTGAGAAACTATGTCTCCTATCTTAAAAAAAGAGTTTAGCATAAAAAGCATTGCCAACTATTTTTACAAGTACTCAAGCTTCATGCTGAATCAATATTATAGACCCAAAGTTTATGTAATGTTATATGAATATGATGTCCATGTGATGCTGGTAAAAAGAGAATTGTGTATTAAAGTCCAACTTCAAGTCCACTCCAAAAATAATTTACTTTTAGAAGATGCTGAAAAACAAGTAAAACAGAGCAAAAAAGATTTTAGTAAAATCTTATAACTAATAAGGAAGTTATGAATTTTTGAAAAAGTATGGAACAATGGAAATTACTACACAAATTGCCAATTTGGTTATCAGTTTGCGAGGTCATTGCTTAACTATTAATCAATTGTTTTATATATTTTATCCCATTAATTTCCCTTTTTAACCCCCAAATCTTGATTTCCCATGCCTTTGCTCAGGTTATATGATTTGTATCATATTGCGTGCATGACATTTCACAACATCTTTTATAAAATTTGAAGAATTGATACTATTTTCTTCATATTCATAATCTTGAGTTGCTAATTTGTCTTGTTATTTTCAAAGTTTTTCATGCCATTAAAAATTCATACCTTTTTCATTAGTTATCCGATTTAGCTCTAACTTTTTTGATTGGTTTGTCTGATTTTTCTGCTTCTATTGAAAGTTAGTTATTTTTGGAGTGGACTTGCTCTTTAACTATTAAAGGTACTATGTCCCTTTTGCAGCCAACCTCAAATGCTGTAGTACTTTGCAGGAATTATAAATATGTCATGTATGTCCTATCTGTGAAATTTAAACGTTAGCAGTGTCCTCATATTCAAATTATGCAAGGAAACCTGTTTACTTGCTAGACTCCACTGCCAGACACTATTGACTGACTGACTGGCTTTTTTTCTTCTTTGGTAGTAACATACATGAAAAGAGTTGTAAAGGGTACATGAGCATTTGTCTACATCAATAACCCACTTCTTGTGATGGCCAAGATTAAACTGATTGAATCTTTGCTCAGCATAAAACGTATGACCATTCGGTACAATTGTCTGAAAATCAAGACTATTACTTTTGGGCTCTATAGCCCTAAAGTCGTTTTGACAACTAATAGTCGTTATTTTCCCACTTGAAGACATTTTCAAGCCCCACCTTTTTTAGGGAAGTTCTAAATTAGTATTATCTTTCAACTGCAGTTGGAATTTAACTTTTTCATTTTTTTGGCCTGCAAATGGGACATAGTACCTTTAAGCAAGGATTTTGAAGAGACCAACTAAACAAGAAATGATTCCGGCTGGGCACTACAAAATATATTCATTTCACACCCATTCATCTCATACCAACGTTACACAGACATCATCATATATTTTTCCCCAACCCCGCGGAATGACCCATATGCCAGAATCATCATTCATTGCCTCCTCTTTTCGCTTTAAACAAGTGAATGATTTGCAAGTTTTCATCGCTCGAAGGGATATTTGTAACGACTTGGAAATCATGTTGCCCTCCTTTCTTTCCTCTCTTCTCCATTTTTTTCTTCTACTCCTCCCGTTGGATTGCTTTTGTTTTGTTGAGTGTTTTTCTGGGAGTGAGTATTTTGGGGCAGAATGTTAGCAACCTGCTTGCCTCTCTCTTCCTGCCCTCTCCAGCTTCCTGGTCCACAGGAAACATCCAGCACCACTTAGTATAATTGAACGATCAGAGGATGGCGGAAACTGGTCGTCATGACTTAGCATTTCTCTTGTTTATATTTCCTGTTCTTTTTTTCCTTTGTGTCCCAAACTTTCCCTCTCTTGTTCTCTCTCCACCCCCCCCCCCCCCCCCGATCTCTATCATAGCGTATTCTGGAATGATCTCACTTTTTTTCCGATTGAGCTGTTCTCATGTAATTTATTTGTTGTTGTAACTTGCTGTCTCTCTCTCTCTCTCTCCCTCTTTCCCTCTCTCTTTCTCTCTCTTTCTCTCTTTCTCTCTCTCTCTTTTTCTCTCTCTTTCTCTCTCTCTCTTTTTCTCTCTCTTTCTCTCTCTCTCTCTTTCTCTCCCTCCATCTCTTTCTCTCCCCCCGTCACTATCATTCGATGACTTTTACATACCTTTACTCTGTGCCTCTTTCTCTCACTTTTCATACCTGTATTTATTCTGCTTCCGAATTTAGTATTTATATTAATCATTTAGAGAAACAAAGATCGTGGCTCTACCAAATTGTTTTGTATAGTCTTCGCTTTTATGGCTCACTTTTCGAGCTATCAGTGTTTTCTTTCTTATTCCTACTTAAATAATGATATTTTCTCTCTTTTTTTCTTCTCACTCGTCGATCAAAATTTTTTCCTTTTCTGAATACTTGTATTGCTCGTTATAATTGTTTTCCCCTCAAACTTTTATCACTCTGTTTCTCTCTGGCTCTCCCTCTTTCCCGCCAATTTCTCACTTCCCCTCTCCATTTACTCTTTCTTTCTGTCTCTCTCTATCAATATCTATTCTATCCATATCTATTTTCCTCTGACCCCTGACCCCTGACCCATATACATGTAGTTGACACAGTTCCCATCACATGCCCTCTCTCTCTCTCTCTCTTTCTCTCTCTCTTTCTCTTCTAATTCCGGAAGCTAGATTTATATTACTCATTTCATAATTATTTAAAGGATATACTTCACACCAATTTTCAAATCAGTTTAGAATCGTCTGGTATCGGGCGTTTAATTTGCAAATGTCACATCCGTGTACAGCATCCGCATTCTTATCCCCACTGTTTGTATTCTTTTGATGTCAGGTACAGATCTCAAGATTGAAGGATTTCCTTTCGCTGACACCTTGTGTTTTCTCTCTCCCCCTGGACCGGGCTGGAGTCATGGAGGGGGAAGCAGATTGCCTTTGATAATGACTACGAGGTCAATCAGCAAACAAAATTTGAAGTAAGTCTTTTATTTACAAATCATATATAAAACCATGTGATCAGGGGGGCGTTTCATGAAACAATTAGGCGGTGGTTTTCACCGACTAATATCATTTTTACCAACAATTTTATTGTCACCGACCATTTTCCAGGCCTCTGATTGGTCAAACTTCTGGTGCTGACAGTTGTTCGGCGGACAAATGTTGATGAAACGCCCCCCAATTTACCAAATTAAAAAAAAAATCTTTATTGTATTATGTGCTGAGAAGCAGGAAAGCTGTTCATGTAAATTGTATATTTTTTTATTGACATTTTGGCTTTCAACAGATAATATTTTATTTTTTTAATATGATGGAGTAGGTAGTGAGTTAAAAGGACCAAAGTAAATGTCCAATATGCGCGACTCGTCGCTGTTCTTCATGCGATTGCATTGAGGCAAGGAGAGTCACGTGACCGATGTTTCGAGAATGGGCATTTACACCGCAGAAATCAGTGAAATTTCTGCCAGCATATAAAATAGCCACACTCAAGAGGTGGATTTTTAGATTTTAAAGATTTTTTTTGGTGTATTTACTGGTAGTTGCTTAGCAGCTTTCAAAGAAACACCGGATGTGAGAAATAAAAAATCAACAGTTTGTTTGCTTCCCGTACAAATGCAGCTTAAGTCAACCTTTTTGCTAGTTTCATATATATTCATGACTTTGAACAATGATTGTTTTTCCTTGAATAAGACTGCGCGGTGAATTAAACATGAATTTTACCATGATCAATTGTTCAATGTATGGGATTCATGCATGATTTGCTTGCCCAACCTTTAATGGGGGCGGGGGAGCAAGAGATTATAATGTGGGGAAAAAAGACATGAAGTCATATATGTACATATGTTGACAGTGTACAGCTGAAATCCATCGATGCAAAGCCTTAAAGTAGACACACGAAGAATCAAAGGTGTTTTGAATTGATGCAAAACTCATGTCATTGCGAAGGGGAAGCCTACTGATCAAATACAACAACTCTCCTCTTCAAAATATGTTTGGGGCCCGCAGTAATCAACTCTCAAAAATGTTAGTTTCAAGATCCAGATTTTCTGCCTTCAGCGGTCCTTTGTAGAGAGCAATATTTGTGACGTCACACACGGGACACGGCTGGCTAGCTGCAGACTAATACACGCGCGACTCCGGTAGTCGGCCGGTACTGAGCTGTTTGTCCAGTGTGTGACGTCACTATTCAGAGCTCGCTACGCTCGTGTGTTTGGCTTATGTTCAGGGGCGTTCGAGGGTCTAAGAAGGGTCTTGAAAAATTGCATTTTACGCCTTTCCATGATATCTATATGATTTTTCAGCAAATTATTCGTGTTTTTCAAGAGAAAATCTTTCCATCCATATGTAATTTGTTCTAATTATCAGTTGTAGTGAATTTTTCTTTGTGTAGCTCCTTTAACATTTGGCTGCAGCATAATATATCTTCAATAGCACACCCATGTGTGGAACAAGCCATGTCTATCTACACTATCAAAGTGATTGCCTTATTGTCCCAGCAGTTTGTAAAACATTCCATAGCAACACTTATCAAAGAACCAAATTAATGTGTGACTATTAGGTCTATTTGAAGTGATTTATCAACTTAACTTGATTTTATTACTTCTTTCCCAAACACCAATAATAGAAATAGAGAATCAGAAAAAAATGTGTACCTCGTTAAACATATAGAAGGGAGCTAATTTTTAACTACCAGCCCAAATATGATTGATTCAAACTGCAGAAAATCCCTTTCAGTTTCACTAGTGAGGAAGCATGATTATAAAAGAAGGAGAGCTACAATGTATATGAACCTGGATTTTAATTGTGAATGACCAGAATAATAATAGTTACTTTACCATGACAACAATATCTGCCAGGTCATTACTTTCTCTTGAATACTTTCTGGAAGGCAAGGTCATGATATGACACATTTATTTTCTCATGATTCATTTTCTTTGAATTGTTGCCATATGGCAGTAGATATAACTCTGTATTTATATATGTGAAGTCTGTTCATATTTCCATATTAGCTTTAATATAAATTCAAAGAAACAACTTTCTTTATTCTCCTGCAGTTTAGAGTAGACTTGGGTTCCATTTGTTTAGAACATTTTGCAAAGCCAGAATCAGCATTTTGAATAATGTTAGTATATATGCCTGTGTAATAGTCTGCAAGCTCTTCTTGATACACTAGAAGAAAAAAAACAGTTGTGATAAACTCTTGCACTATAATGATTTGTTGTAATGCATATCTTTAGAAAGCAAGTAGCATGTAAACAGTTAGTATGAGTAAATACCCTTCTCAATTTTAGCAGTAATTTGTGAGCACTGTTTAGGCTGTTACACTTCTTTTAAGGTATCTCTGACTGACTGACTGAACCTACAGTAAGCAATGAAAATTGATTTCCAATGGCAAGGTCATTTGATTCACTCCCACTCTATCTAGAAACAAAACAAAACAAAACACAAAAGAGCATGTGTGGAGAGTTGATGCTAACTATTGTTAAAAGTAAAGTATGTATTTATGCATGGATGTCCTTTTTGGTTCAATGGCTTTTTCTTTTTTACACTTTTGCACATCCTTATATGACAAACTGATTTTGGTAGAGGAACCCAAGCATGAAATGATCACCAATGGCAAGGTTATTAGTTTGACAAGCATTCTATCTAGAAACAAATTATTTATTTATGATAAGCGATTGTATCTTGGCATACTGCAGTATATTGATCAAGGTTCACAATATCCAAAAGAAATTGGAGCCAGAATGACATACAAATGTAAGGTCTTTATGAAACAATGAAACAATTTCGAGCATTAGATTATTTTTTTTTAGAAATACAAAGGCTGTCTTAAATGTTGACATTGCCAATGACACTACTTTTGATTTCAAAGAGCGGATGCTTGTTTCAATTGTTATAAAGATAATACAGGAAACGTGTAAGGGATGTTGACGGCCGGTCAGCATGTTATTATGGAATGAGCCTCTTTCCCGTCCGTCCGATTCTGTCCAACAAACAAGAACAAACATTTTGACCTCTTAAAGTTTTTTTAGATTTGGTGATGTAAATGACATATTGAGGCCTACTTACCAAATTTCTGGAAATACATTTCCAGTCTTGAATCTTGGTTTTAAAGCAACTCCTGTGAGTGAAGAAAAAAAATCCACTCTAATTTAGGAGGGTAAACAAGATGAAGTTTAAGATAAAGACCAGTTCTGGTCATGCGATTGCATTGTGAAAAAAACGTTGTGGAATCAATCAGAAAAGGTTGATCATTTAGTATACGTATTGGTGTGTACTGCAAGGTTCTGGAATCATCAAAATGATAAGAAATTTGGCCCAGTCTTGGTAAAGTTACAAGCACTGTACGCAGAAAGATGTATATGGGACTACGCGACACGAGCGCAATATCTATCCGGTCCGAATTGATATAATCATTTACCAAATATATCAATTAGTAGGCGGTTTCCCGGCAAAATTTGTATCATCACGTATTAGTCCAAACATATTCTTTCACATGATTGGTAATAAGAGCTTCCATTTCATTTTTTGAGAGGGGGGCGTTTCCAAAACTGGTCTTTACCTTTAAAGTTATCAATTTACTATAAGTCAAATTTCATTGACAACAATAGCTGTGTTCACAGGGGACCATTAAATTTACAGCAAAATTTTGAAGTTATAAACTGGAATCCACTAACAACGATGAGGGTTCACACAGGACTGTTTTAAAGTTAAGTTCCATCCAGGGAAAGCATTCATTTTAACTACCTGCTGACATAACCTCAAAATTAATTGCAGCAAATAACTTCGAGTGAAGACTCCTTGCTTCTAGTAGTTGTCGCGTTAGTTGTGGTTTGAATTTTCTAGTTAAACTTAAAGTTTTGTAACCACACGTGCGTCTGCACTGTCCATAACTGCAACATAAGTTTAAAACTACGACCTAAACTATTAATGGACTTTCGTGTGAACCTCATTAATGTGTAGGATCAGAGAGGAAAGAGTAGGTGGATGCTGCAGCTATTCTCAGGTATGATTAATTGTTTATGCCTGCCTACTCTGTTTACTACCAATAACAAGAATAATCAACTCTTTTCTGGTTAATACGCCGTCCATGAATCGGGGTCGGAACATCCGTCGGAAGTACAATCGCGCCGGCAATGCAGGTTCATGGAAACCGCGGCGGCGTGTGCATTATAGCGACCCATCTCCCTTCCTGTGATGTGTCACGTTGTGACAGAGTTTTATTGAGGAAAAGTGGGTTGTTTAGGTACAGGAGACATATCAAAATATCCTGTGGGAAACTGTCTGGAAAAATGTGTTCGTGGGATAATGAGTGATAGAGAGACATTGTTTTGAAATAGTGAGCTTATTTTTCTCTTGGAAAGGTGAAACAAAGCTCAAGCCTACATGTATATACTTCCTGGAATGATTATCACAGTATCTAGCCATCTATAACAATGCCATCTTTTTAATAACCACTGTTTGATTTGCGGTCTTGTGTCACCCCATGCTCCATTTTTTTTACCTGTACATGTACATGTACCTGCTGTTTGTCACTTGTTATTGATCTGACATACTATTCTGTACCCCAGTGGCCTCTGTCATGAAGCTTATCTGGTAAAATGTCAATATCATTTCTCAAATAGTTTACAAATCCGAAGTCCAAAAGCCGTGCCATATAATAGTTTTATCTCTTTTCAGTGGCTAAAGGTATAGGATAGGTATTGAGAAAGGTATAGAAAGACGGTCTGTTTGTTGAAACCTTAATAAAATATCTTTTAAAAGATATATATGCTTCTGACACGTGTTGAAGTGAACGGTTGACAAGAGATATAGTGCAGGTGCTTTGGAGAATGGGTACTGGTAAGCTTCCATGAGCTGGTTTATTTTCTTAATATTGGCTATCTATAAAGTCTTGTTCTATATATATTCTGATTTTGATTAAATAATTGATCATTTAAATTGAGTTAAATTGAATTGACAAGGTTTATGGTTAACA